TAAGAGTTTGAAATACTTTCTTCAGTTAATCAGCCTTCAATGAGCTTTGAGAGTTCAAATAGCATCTTGAGAAAGCATTGTTTTAGAGCATTTTGATCAGCTTTCTAGAGCTTAAAAATCAGTTTTAGAGAGGATTGGAAAGTTGAATCAGCTGCTAGACATAGCATCTTGGCAGTTTTGAGAAGAGCCAAAAGATTAAGAGCAAAAATAGAGAGATAGAGAGTTGGCTAGCTTTTTGAGAACATAGGAAAGGTTTAAAAACAAAGGGTTACTGTTCCATTGGTTTTTGGATACAGTTTGGGAGTTTCAGTAGTTGATCATCCTGATTCTACTTTGCTGGAGTTTCTTTTGGGGTCTGTTGGTTCAAATTTTGGGTCCAGTGGAGTCTGTGGGGTTGTTTTGCTGTTGCCGCTTGGTTTTTTTTACAATTTCCCGGGTTGTCTTTGTGGTTATTTGAACTCCAAGTTTGCTGCTGTCTGCTATCTGCTAGTGCTGATTGCTTCCTCTTCATCTCAATTTCGAATTTCAGGTACACATTCGAACCTGATTTGATGTAGCTTTGAGGTAAAAGAAAGAAGAAAAATGAAATAAAATGCTCCTGAAATGTGTCTGTTCGAGCTGCCATGGTTGAATAGATAACACTTGTTTGTACTTGTTTAAGTTTAATTTTGATTTATGTTGATATAATCATTGGGCTGTATAATCAGGACTATTTGGGAAATTAATTTGGACTGTTATGAGGCTATGAATCTGTACAGGACTTTTGTTTATTGAATAACCTAGTGTAGTTTTATTTGGTGACTAGTTTGGCTTTTAATGTTAAGCAATAGCATAGATATAGAAACTGATCTCAGGTCTTCATTTGTGGTTAGTAAACATTCGAAATGTTGTTTGAGGCTTGGACAACATGCTCAGTAGTACAAAACTAGTGTATATACATCCATTTTGTTTCAGTCACTCTTGTCTTTTGATATAATTCAGCTAGATCGTTTGTGTATTAGGCCAAGTAAAAAATGAATAAGCATATTGTTACTTGCATGAGGATTTAAGAGTTTGAGCAAATCTTTGCAACTTTTCAGATTGAGAAAGATAAACACTAACAAGTAAATAAATAGGAATCAACACATTTTAATTACACAGCTACAGTACCAACCTGTTGATCGGCCTAGAGCCAAGGTTAATGTCAAATTTGGGCTCATTGGAAGCCCAAACAGCATCACCCGTTTTGTTTAAGATTAACTGGGCCTATGATGTGGCTACAGACCCAGTGTTTCTTCAGCCTGCTTCTCGTGAGGTTTGGGGTTCATTAGATTTGGGCCAGTTGTGCAACAACAAGCCCAATTTCCATGGCACCAGGTTTACGTCCGGACAGATCCATCTATCAAAACTGGGCCAAACCTTTAAGGCCTAAAATAATTGCTAGAAGTCACAAATTCTTTAATAAATTATATTAGGAATATGGGAGTTAATTTACAATATGAATTTGGGTTTTCAAGTTAGGTAGCGGGTTCAAATTAAGAGGGTCCTCCCTTTTGTTTGAATTCGAACTTGAACTCGAGGCCTGAACTTATAATGTAAATTAATTAGGCCCTTTTAGAGACAAAAGAATAAATAGAAAATCTTAGTTTGCCTTAGTTTGGCCTTTAAATAATAAAATTGAGATGAGCCTCGCCAAATAAAAATGCAAACTGCGGGGCCCTCATTCAATACTTAATTAAATACTTAGAATTCGGGATGGCCGTTTAGCGAATTTCACGGCCTTCCCCAAAATAATAACGCGTTAGACTCTTTAAGCGTGATTTTAATAAAAATTACATTCTTAAACTCGGGTGTGCATTTCATGTGACCCAAATCCAAATCCTAAAACGTTGTATAAAAATGTGTCGAGGATCCGGGTGCATTTCATGAGACGTGATCCGAAAACACGTTTTTAAACGACGTTCACTTTCTTAAAATTTTTAATTAAAGCGGTAAATAATCTTTAAAATTGCACTATAGGATAACATGTATTAAAATCAGATATTAAGCCATTTATAATAGTTTAAGCGACCGTGCTAGAAACACGGGATCCGGGGGTGCCTAACACCTTCCCTCGGGTCAACAGAATTCCTTACTTAGAATTTCTGGTTCGCAGACTTCACTTGAAAAGTTGAATATTTTCCTCGGATTGGGATTCAAGATAAACCGGTGACTTGGGACACCAAAAGCCAAACTTTCCCAAGTGGCGACTCTAAATAAATAAACAATCCCATTTCGAATAATGTCACTTAAAATGGAAAAACTCCCTTACACATTTATCCTCCGGGGTAGGTGCGTAAAAAGGAGGTGTGACAGTATACTCTTACAATTAGGTCCTTTTAGATTTTTTTTTGACAACTGATATTATTTCAGTTTGATAATTGAATTAAATTTTTTTAAATCTTTGCATACAATTGTATACCCTGTTGGTATATCTATATACTATACTGGTATCATATTAGTTAATATTTTTTTGGTTGTATTAACTACATTTAATTGGTACACAATTTAATTTTTCTTTAGTAATAAATAAAAAATAAAAAAATAGTGAAAATAGTAAATGAAATTAGATTATGAAGAGAAAAAGAATATAAAAAAACAGAAGTTAAATAAAATTAGAAAAGGAAAAAAGAAAAAAAAAGAAAAAAAAGAGAAAAAAAAGGAGAAAAGAAAAAAAAGAAAAAAGAAAAGAAAAGAAGCATAGAAATAAAAAAGAACTGAAGAATAAAGAAAAAATTCTCCACAAAATCTACTATGGGTAGGAAATGTAATTAGTTTATGAGTAGGAAAACAAATAGACAGACAATAGTAAATAATTTTATTTTTGTGGGTAACTGTGTCAAAACCCCAATTTTCAGCTTTTAGCCCAATTTGAGCCCAACAAGACTGACCCAATAGCCAATTAATTCGGCCGAACTTGAGCCCAGTCCCTTAGCCCGCGACCCAAATTACCTGACCTGCTCCATTTTCAGCTTTAAATCCTAATCCTCCATCCTTCCCCAATCAATGGTTCATATTACCATATAAAAACCAATTCTTTCACAAAGAAAGACCTAAATCGCCTCAGCCGCACGCCCCACCCCTTTCTCCCTTCTGTCCCCACCCTCACGCCACAACTCGCCAGAGAACTCACCTAATCTTCTCTCCTTCATTCACGTGTCCCTAATCTTGAAGAACGCGCTTTCTGCCATTTTTCTCTGGCAAAATCCGAACCCTTGATGAATGTTAGAAAAATGGAGGGCCATTGGATTACTGTCTTTGATCCAAGATCTTCCACTTTTCTGAAATTTATCTACAAAAGGATTTTCGGATTTCCTTTGAGGGCCCTGCACGCGTATTCTTGGAGCAAAAGCAGAGAAGATTCGCATAAGGAAGCTACTTCACATTTTTACGGGGGTATTTCGGTATTTCTCGGGAAGGAAGCATGGAAGTTTCGGGATACTCTATATAAACTCGTGTTCCTAATTTTTGCGTGGAAAGGGCAGCGATGAATTAGGGTTTGGGGATATCTTTTCTTTGCCTTCCAATTTTCTCATCCAATTCGGGCTTCTTTTAGATTTCAAGAAAGGACATACAAAACATGATGTTTCTTTTTTTAATTAGCTAGGATTTGTGTTCCAGAAACATATACAAAAAATATTTTCAATTCTGGTTTTAAAAAATGGAGGTGAGCTGAGGATTGAAGCCGATTCGATTTGCCATCTGATTTTCCGTTTGTGGTTCCGTTCGAGTTGATTGCTGTTTCAAGTTCTGTTTGTAGCTGCGGTATTCTTCTGTCCAATTGTTGGAGTTTCTATTAATTGAATCTTCCCTAAAAGGTCCATTCCTCTCTTTATGTTACTGGCTTATTCTCCTAGTTTCATTGATTTCATTTTCTTTTTTGTCTTGTTAATTTTGTTCTTTTCCTGTAAGTTCATAGTTTGTCCTATGTGTCAATTATTTTATGTGTATTCTTTGAGTTCCAGCAAGTATACTTTTAGGGGATATAACCCATTTTTCTATCGTCAAATTTTAACTCTCGGGCCTTATTTCTTTATGATCGATTGTCCTGGCTTTGTCCGTATTAAAGTATTATATTCCATGGTTTAAATGCTAGTGATATTTTGTGAATTTTTCTCCTGATCTTTATTCACAAGTTAGTTTAATTTAAGTCATAATGTCAAGACAAATGTTGAATAGTAAGTGAGATAGTTGGGCTTGAGAAGTTAATTTTCTACTACATAAAAAGAACAAGGGAAAGGAAGATGATGTAAAAAGGTTTCTCTCTGATTAGGAAAATCTAGTGGAAATTAACTTTTGGTTGGATATTATATTTGAAAACATGATAGGGTCAAACTTTTGGTTAAGTTACTGATATAGTAAACTCATGGTATTTCATTCTTAGTTCGTAGGTTTCATTTGAGAAATATCACTAATTAAGCTTTCATGAGTATTTTAGAAATCTTGTATAATAATGTCTATCATAGTGTTTCATGTTCGCTAAAGTCAGTTATGACTCGAAACCTATTGCCGTAGCAGTGTGCTTTAGGAACTTCAAGTTACAATGGGCCAGTAATATATTTATATCACCTAACTTCATCATTTGAGTTTGGTTGTTCATATTTGATGGTATTTCCTTATTACCCATGGCTTCAAGTGTTTGGATGCATATTGAAATGAGCTTGAATGATTTGAAACTGGAGGAGCAATTCAGTAGAGCACGCAATTGGGTTTTAAGATAATTAAAAAAGAAGAAGATTAAGTTGGATTAAGTGTGGACCTTGGCATCTGACATGATAAGGGAGCTAGCCAAAATGGGTAGGCTTAGATATTTGTTCATGATCTTCTTTTCTAATATAGTGGCTGTGGATTATTTTGATATCAAAGTTGAAAGAGCTACTTCATATTTGGTTTGATTATTATATTCAATGCAGTGGCTATGGATTACTGTGATATCAACGTTCATCCTGCTTTCGGCAGGTAAGTTATTTAATTAATACATATTATAATTTGTTGTTATCTAATAGGCGGACAAGCCTGCCAGAGTCATCTCCATTTTTATACTTCACGCTGCATATAGCAAAAGTCTGCGATTGCTCTTGATGGCTGATGCGGAGTGGATGCTCCCCCAAAAGGGGTATTGAGTGGCTGTGAAGCTTTTGTCTTTCATCAATAGTGCAAATTGCTAACCGACCTTCTTTAACGATTGCAAGACTGTTGACAATGGAGAAATAGCTTTTACAGCTCTTGAGCATAGAAAATATATGACAATTCGAAGACACAGAAGCTTACAACCAAGAAGATATATACTTCTAACACCATTTAATTGTGATAGATATGGAAGATATAGGAAAAATCAACTTGAATGATAGCTTGGCAACAATATATAGAAGATACTTTTGATTCTTAACATGTCAACCCAATAATAGGTGCCTGAGCTGGCAATTCAAGTTCATTCAACACTTCAATCAAGAGATAGATCGAAATTCTAATAGAGTACATTCAACTTTTTGTCAAAGACGCAATGTTACCTGTAAAACAGAGGAAAAGGAACAAATTACCCTTTTGGAAAAGCTTCAACATTGAATGGGCACATATGGATAATGTCTTTAAGATTTACTTCGCAATAAAGTAACTTCTCATTACAGCTCCATATAACTATGGGTCTATTGGAGGCAGCAAAGACACGCGTAGCTTCTTTAGATGAGAATGTACGAAGTGTTATGGGTTGGGTCCCAAGAGACAGTTCTTTCCTGTCTGTCAGCTCACCAGTAGTCATGTTCAATCCAAAATGCAAGAGATGACCATCTCCCAAGGCACATAGCAAATAAGATTTCTGGAAGTGAGAGAGAGAGGGGGGTTTAGAACCACAAAAAAGAGGCAAAGGAACATATTAAAGGAGGACAGCACAAAAATTTCATGTATTGTCTGCTAAATTCAAAACCTTACTCCAGTATCAGTCATCCAAATCTGCTGTTATACTTTCCTTCACTGAAGACATCCGACTACACAAGTCCATTTGACGAAAAAGATGAAACGTAACCAAACATGGAAAGTAACATGTTCCAGTTTAGTGGCTTCCAAGGAATTCTACAGCCCAGTTTGATGAACTTCCCCTTCTGTAGATTACAACAGCCAGCTTCAGGTCTTGATTTTATCCTCAGATAAATGTTTTTAACCATCGGAAGTCTAGTCATCATCTTTTATATACAATGCAGATGCTATCATTGGAAATCAAGTACTACAGAAAGAGAGGGAAAGCATGAGGTAACTGACATATTATTTTATTTATTTATTTATTTGCTTCTCTAATAAGGACCATGAGGTAAGTCATATCTTTTTACTTCTGCTTTCTAAGTCATCTTTTCCTTTGGCGGGCATATACTTATACAATAAAGTGTGATAAGAAAGCCAGTTTGCACTTATACTTTCAGGCAGTTATTTTGATCTAAAGCTATAGAGGAGGATGTCTCGTCATAATTCATCCAGCTATTTTTATGATGGGATAATTTTGTTAGCTCTCAGTTATACCCCAAAATGACACTTGCACCTCATTCAACCATACCCACTAGAATTCCATCTAAAATGCATGAGGAAGTCAATTTTCTGCCTCAACCATATGTCATCTCATAAAAGGTAAACGGAAAACTTTTTGTACTCTCATGTCTTTTATCTTATTAGCATACAGACACAGCAATGTCGGTGAAAAGGTATTAGCTAAGAGTGAGAGAAAACAAGAATATATTTTCTTTATAAGAGGGGAAGAGATACAAAAATATGTTAGGAAACAAAATTCGGTAGCGGTGCTGAAAATATGCATATTTCAACTCTCTCATCGCCTTTTAAAATAATCCTCCTTATCTTAATTTACTTTTTTTTTCCTTTTCAAATGGGGATCGCAAATTCTTGTAGAAAAGGACAGATAACAATGTAAATGACTTCTGGTCTTTGACTCGAAGGTTGACTGAGAAAAAAAGGGTGGAACCAAAAAGGAGTTAATTAGGCTAATATAGTAACGAAACGTGAAGCAGTATTGGAAATTATAAAAGACGACTGGGCAACAGTATAGCTATTCTAAAGGAATACCGATTAAAAAAGAAGTTTAGTTAGCCTGAGGAGACAACTGAAACTCAGAAATACTTGAGGAAGCTCAGTTATACACAGATGTTTAAGGCTTATGTATCTCAACATGCGTTTTGGGATGGACTTCCAAGGACGCTAGCATGATTCTAGAGCAAAATTAACGAATGTGCAAATGATCACTCATGTTTGGCTATGAGCCTATAGCATTAAAAACTATCATAACCAGTCATTAACTTCCTTTCTGAAGAAACCTGCTAAGAAAGCCGATAAAAAGTGCCTCATAAAAAAAGACCACAGGGTACCCCACCTATAGCCCAGTTGTATCCCTGGATTCCGCACAAGGCAGCCCCAGATTTGAACCCAATGCCCATGCTTGTCATTCCCCAAAAAGAAAATACTGTGTTGAGGCATAAAGGGTTGCTATAAAGATAAGAGGACATACCCTTTCGAAGGAACACATTAGAACAGAACGAGGAATTATCTCCCCTCCTAACTTTTCCATTTTAATGAGATCCAACCCGGGAAGTGAATATATGTCGACACTTCTGTCTTCCCACATTCTAACTGCTGCAAAACTACTAGAGTTTGCTTTGTCATCAATTGGGTTTATGTCCGGGCACGAGACACAACAACCCGACTTAACACTTTTTATTTCCTCCAAAAACCCATCACCAATTTTTAGGCATACCAGATCGCCAACATTAGTAGCCAACAGGACCTGTAAAACGGAGAGAAATAAACTGCACGATGAGCTAATTGGTAGAAGAGAGGAGTGACAAATGACAAAGGTAATCATAACCAAAGAAAAGGAAAAGAAACTATAGCTTTCGATAACATCCAAAGGCGTCACAACAACTAGAACATGCCCCGGTGAATCCTGAATTGGTTCTAAATTGAGTAATCTAATTAATATCCTTTTGTTTTACACATTATTTAGCTATTTCTGTTACTAAATAAATCGAGAAAAAAAGGCAATTCCAACTACCTTTTAAAGTAATTTTACTATTTAAGTCTTTCATATTCTACATCACTTCAAAAACTAGTGCTCATTTACTCAAGCTTTCATAATGATATAATTGTGAGATCTAAAGACCGTCTCTTGCAAATTATATTTTTATCTTATGAAGCAAATCATGAACTCATTCTTGTTCCACAGACTCAAATAGTCTGTATTAGGTAAGATTATGCAGGTCCTACTTTATCTTTAATTTTTTGAATCAGGAAAACTGTCACCCATTTGCTTTATACAATAATTCATAGCATACAAAACAAAGTCTTTGAAACAAAAATATAAATTCCTTCTATAGTAAATGAAATTTGTAAAAGACAGAATGACCAGTCCCCTTTTACTTGACAAAGACCCCAGATCAACAAAAGAGCATGACGAATTTGCTCATATACTCGGACTAAATATTGCATTTTTGTAATCCATCTATTGTGTGGAACAACTTATGGATGCTTTTTATCTTTGTTACTATGTTCTCTAACTTGAATCTATTCTTTTATCTTATAATCTATGATACTGATTGAAGAAGATACCACCTTGGACCTGGCATAGCTTGGAAGGACAGATATAGCAAGTGTTTTGAAGACCATAGCTCACCCATTTTCCCCAAACGTACATGTTCCACCGAGGTTTAGTTTTTTTTAATAAGATGCACAAAACTTAAGTTTTGTGTCATGACTATTATCTTATTGTAACTCTTTGTGGACTTCATAGATTCTATACACAATTAGGAGGAATCTGAATCCTTTTGCTGTACATCTTTTTTAGCACAAATTTTCTGATTGGTATGAGAACCTTTCTAAGTACAGTTTAATGAAAGTTTTCACATAATTATTAAAATGAGCCGATGAAACTGATGATGTATGTTGCACGTTGTTCATTACGAGTTCACACAAAGCATGTTCTTTGTCTACTAATCTGAATTTTTCATATACAAAGAGACATTTGTGTTGTATTGTTCTTATTCAAAACTTCCTCGTCTCATTTCCATGTCGGTATCCAACACTCTGATGCTGTCACTCAGCTTTTTCTCCTTGTTTGTCGATCACAAACAGAGATTCATTTTCAGTGGAGACAGCCATATTTTTTGTCAAAGACAGTGCAGCCTAGTTGGAAACAAGATCTTTTATGGTAAAACAAACCATTAGAAGGTAAAAAGAGCTGATTTTACTGATGCATTAGTATATCGCTATGGATAGGGAGGTCGCAAATATGATGGAGAAAAAGAATGGTCAAGGAAATTGGATTTTCCAGAGTCAAAATAAAGAATCAATTATTACAACCTAAAGAGGACAGTACAGTTTAACTGATGAGCTCCAGTTTGAAATAAGTTATGCATTTTGTATAAGTTCTATGAGCACAACTAAAGAATCAGTGCTGTAAAAATCGAAGTATAGCTTTCTTTTCTAAGTCAACGTAATGGTTATTGTAATTAAACTAATCGCGAAAATCAATAATATCTGGGAAAGTATTCTTCTGTTCAGTCACGCATACAAGCTGTCACTTTAAGCCATGGATAAATGCAAGAGTAAACCTGAGTGGCGTTAGCAGTTGCAATAGTCAACGAGCAGCTATCTGGAGCAAACCACTCGTCTTTCAGATCTCTAGATGTAGAGTTGACCAATCTTACAGAGTTTGGAGTAACCTGCATGGCAATTTATGCGCAACTGTCTATTAAATACAGATATTATTTAATAGATTTTCAGCCAGAAATTTGCTTGTTGGAGACGGTCAATGCAAATGTTTTACCCTAGGAAATCAGTGTACGATCAATATCCACTATAGTCTACCAAAGAAATGGAAGATTACTCATCAAATAAAGACAGAGAGAGACAGAGACAGAGGGAAGTATTGGAGGATTCTGGTTTCTCAAATTTAACCGTCTCAATGAAGCCAATAGGACATATAGCCATAATTATAGCCTGTTTGGAAGCTGCTCCAATCCTAGAAGCACTTTTTTTCTTTTTTTTCAAAGTTGAAGTGTTTCGCCAAGCTTTTGGAAGAAAAAAAAGTGCTTTTGAGGAGAAGTAAAAGCAGTTTTGGAGAAACAGAAAAAAGTAGCTTCTCTCCGAAAGCACTTTTTTGAAAAGCACTTTTGAGAAAAATACACTTAGAAGCAGTTTTTAAAAGTTTGGCCAAACACTAATTGCTACTCAGAAGTGCTTTTCAAATTAATTAGCCAAACACAAACTGCTTCTTACCAAAAGTTCTTTTTAAAAAGCAATTTTGAGAAAAAGCACTTCTCAAATAAATTTGATTTTTGCAGCTTGGCCAAACAGGCTATTAGTCGCAGTAACTGACAAATGACAAAGCCCCATCTCAAGTATGACAGCACAAAGCCAAATGTGCTTGTTCCAATAGAGACTCTCTCTCTCTCACACACACATCAAACAAAAGCACATGATAACAAAACAAGATTCCTGACAACTTAAGAAACATGTAGAGACACATTTGAACTTTGACAAAAGTTACCGGCACAAGCTGACGACTAATGTAACAAAAAGGAGACAACTTCAAGAAAATAACGATCGCAGCGGAAAGATGTGGCAAATCTTCAAGATTATCTGTTACTGCTTCCACATCACACACCAGAAAGAGTACCAACAAGAAGTAGCGGAGACCACTGAACTCCAGAGAAGGAAAGTGGTAGTTTCACAATGTTACCAACAATTGATATTTTCTCTAACCTAGTCTCTGCTGGCTACTTAAAATTTACAAATCTTATTCCATATCGGCAAAGTCGCACCCATTAATCCAAAAGGAAAAAGTTAGAACTTATCAATTGCATATAGACCCTAAAGTATATAAACCCAAATCAGATCTATATTATTAAATCACAATTTTGATGGATTTATACTCATAAGTTCTGATTCAATAAGATGATCTACTCAACATAAGGCATACCTGTACAAGCTGATTCCATACAGCATCATGACAAAACAAGGTCTGGTCTTCAGAATTGAAACCCTCTATCGGAGTTTCTTTCAGCACATACTCACGGTCCATTTCAAAAAAACGTGTCGCACGAATGAAGCTAACAACTAAGAATGAATGATCAGTAGCTGAACGAAGGGACCACATTCCGTAGCACTTCGAATAGATTGAGCATTGGCATATAGATTGAGCTATTGTAGCACTTCGAATAAATAATAAAACATTAGCTGAAAACAACTTAGATGACAAGACCTGTTCATGTAATCCAATTGCACTCCGAACAATACGAAGCGAGCCATCCTTATAGGCTCCGGAGCAAGCCACAACCTGACTTTGACCTTGCTTCTCCAGGTCAACAACACAGAAGTCCCCAATAGGTCCCAAATTGACAAAACTCTTTACAACTTCCATAGGAGAGCCTCCAACATCGTGCTGGAGATTGAGCTTTACCAGCTGAATGTGAATTGAAAAATATTAGTGGAACAGCGGAAGTTGAAACATGTCCTAATATGAAGCACCAAAGGAAATGGAATAACCGAAATTTAAACCTCAAGTTACAATGAATCAAAGTCTACAATAATGAGAATTACAGCAAGCAAGCTCTCAGAAACAAAATTATTGCACCAATATGCACTCATATAACTAACCAAGGGTCATGAGAATTTTAAAAAATATTGCAACGATAACACAGCAGATAGAACTCTGAATAACGTTCTCACCAACCAACACTTGTTAAAACTATTCTGACCTCTTAGCAACGAGAACCTCCTTTGACTTTATGGTGTTAAGTAAGCATCGAAGTACAACAAGTGCGCCAAACATGGATAGGATACAGCAAATCATTTTGCTTCATAAGATAATACTACAGCTTTCACTATGCAATCTATTTGAGTGGGTTAATTGTAAGCGAAATGCTTCATAGATCAAGAGTAACATGAAGCCTATAACAAGTTAATTATTTAAATACCCCTTCATCTGATGAGATGAGTTCTATCATTCATATTGCAATTAAATATTAGTTATATTCAAACAGTAAAATCTCTAAGCCAATTGCAGTGAAATAGCCCATAAATGTACATGCAAACTCAGCAAAAAATTAAAGCACAAAGGAAGGACATTATTTTTGAAGGACTACAATAAAAATTCATAGACTTAGCAAAATATAATGGAAGAAAAAGATTCATATAACCAATACCAACAAGTCCAGATTAAGACTTAATTTTTTTGATATGATCACATTTGTCCAATATTTGCTAGATGTTAAAGATATTTGTATGGGAGTAGAAATTGCAGATAGCGCCAAGGTTAAAGGACCTAATTCATAGAATACTGAAAGGTGGGGGGTATAAATGGAGTGAAACGGACACTGATGATTCATCAAAACCGGCCTCAACTAGCTATGGTTTGAGGCTAATTTGTTGGTATATCATTAATATACCCATCTCGCCAAAATAAAAGGCACAATTATAATTCAATTCATGTAATCACATACAGAAAAAAAGGTATCTATATATTCCTTTTAAACCACAAGACGAATCAAGCAAACGTACTTAAGGATAAAGTTTCACATTAGCTTAAATTTTAAGGTAACAGTTTAAAAGTACCTGTGAATCTCCATAGCTTGAGCCAATATAGACAAAATGGCCACCTAGATATGAAATGGTTGATGCAATAGAAGTTTCTTGCAAATGATTGATTGTGACTCCAGCAACTCTGGAAAGAACAGAATATGCCCGCATTAAACAGTTGTTCCCAGCAACTAAGCAAAGATGCAGTTATTAACAGCAACTCAGCAAAAGTAGAAAAGACAAAGTGCAGAAAAAGCTGACTCACTTCTTCTTTTCATGAGTGATTACTAGTAGATGAAGACCCCCAATACGATCCCCAAGCAAATATCGATAAGCATCAACTTGCGCATATGCTCTTATAGACTTAAATGAACAAATAAAATTAGTAAGACAATATCTCATTCAGTATTTAATTAACAGCTTCCTTGATAACAATTAATTAACAGGTTTTAAAAGGTTTATCAGGTCAAATATGCTAGTGGGAATGCTGGTTGTACAAGTACACAAAGAAAATTAGTAAATTATACATGTAAGCCACGTCCAATTGGGTAAGTATCATTAACAGCTGAAGCGTCACAGTAAACAATGGCTTTTTCTCCAATAATCAGTACACCAAACACTGGCTGAGGTACTGGTATTAGCAAAGAAGCTCCATTATCAAGATTGTTCAGAGCCCAAAGATATTTTCTGCGTTCAGTAAGGCGGTCATCCTCTAAGGGCACCTCATATGTTTTGACATGTCGGGCATCATTGTTATCCTGCCAGTCAAATGTCAGGTCAAAAACAAGCATCAGAATCAAGTCATTTAAACTCAGACAGAAGACACCACCATGGCAGTTGGGCAAATGAATCCGCTTGGTGGGTTGAAACCCCCTACAATAACATACCCAGTGTAGTCCCACAAATGGGGCCTGAATGGGTTGAAACCCCCTCCCCCCCACACACCCACCAAATTTATTTGTTCTTAAAAAAGAAGGGAATAAACAAAGTGCATAATGTCATTGTATAAACTAAGTGCTAACGACATATCCAAGAATTTTAAGCACTAATTAAGTTTCCCGATGAAATGAAAAAAAAATCCTTTACCTAAATTAGCAAAGAATTAAAATGGTAAAGTATGCATCATGACTACACTATTATTTAAAATGACAGACCTGATATAGAACAACAATTGTAGGGTTTTGGCAACCATACAAGAATTTTAGATCCAAAGCTTGAGGCTTAAACCTAACAAAAACCACAAAATAATGAATTATCAGTCAAAGAAGAATAGCTCCCGAGATCAACATGAGATCCCAGGTAAGACAGAGTCGGAACCACGACTATTCAGTAATCCTCCTACATAGAGAATAGGATACACTTCTTAGAAGCATAATTCACACAAATGATCACTACCTAGAGACATGTAGGCAGGTTGCTACAAAAAATGAGGTCACACTGGGTGTACTTAAAGCACTTCACTGTATAAAATGATACAGTATCACTTTATTCCCCTCAAAAAGGAAAAGTTAAAGAAAGAGAACTCAAAGTGCAGCACAACAAATATTAAAAAGCTGAGGAAAGAGCAGTACAGTAGTCCTTGGAACATTTCATCTACAGCTTCAAGTAGGTAAGCTAAAAAGAATAGCAACGTATAATACAGGAAAAATGAATTTTGGAATGCCAGCACATCCAGGAACAAAATCTCTATGAGTTGATCTACAATTAACATTTGTACTCTACAAGTTGACCTGCCGAGGCCCTAATCTGGATTGTTTTCATATATTAAGCATTGATCTCATAGTTCAAGTATATTTCACTATTTTCTCGGTTTTAATAGAGGTTTTGCTCACAGAAATATAGCAGCCCTGCTCCGCCATATCAACCCCCACAATCCTCGTCCATTATTATTTAACGTCAGAATGGAATATTTCACAATTAGGCAGGTAGATCCTGAGTAGGTGAATTGGTTGAGGTCAAGAAAAGTAAACTGGCTCAACGACTGGAGAAGATTTAGCAACAAATAGAGGACGTTACTTAATTGTAGGAGAAAATTGTAGATAAGTTATCTTCACAATTTTGTAAAGGTAAATCTGAGGATACCAGATGCTAAAAGCTTCCTTCAGTTTGCCTTCCTCACCAAAGGGAATAACCTGTTGACAATGAAGCCCAGGTGAATCCGTTGCAAACACAAAAATACCACCACAAAATCTAATCCAGTAAACATTACACCTAATGAAACGAAGACCAAAGAGCCAATTTGTTGAGTCTAGTAAGGATGGTACCTTAAACAGACCATCATAGAGATGCAGTCCAATCAATCTGCAGTCCGGGTCAATTAAACCAATCTACCAAAAGAAAGAAAAGAGTAAGGGGTAAATAGGGTCTTGATACATAGACAATCTCATTGACAAAATGAGAAATCAACTAACATAATATCAGTTTGTTCCTTTAAATTACAATTGTATTTAAAGGCATTTGGAAAAAGAATACCTGACCATTATCCGTGGGATAGCCTGTTTGATCTGAGACATCTCCCTTTGTTCTACAAATAAAAGCAGTGAGAACACCACAAAGAGGAGAAGTTCTGAGTTTGAGAAGAAATTACCAATCAAAGAAAAAGTTTGAGAAGCAAATTAAATTCACTGACTACAAAGATATGGAGTGAAGCAAATGATAGAGGAAAACTTTCTACCAGGAGTATTTAAAAGAAAAGCTTCAACCAGTGGCAATAACACAAGGCATATAAAAGCTAGAACAACTCCTAGATTCAATTTTCAAGAAGGTTTCATGAATAAACAACGACCTTTTGTTGGCTACTTTGGCTAAGTTTTCTACATACCAAGCAAATTGCCTTTGAAGGCTCCAATAAAATGGATATAAAGATGAAGTATACTGCACCGAGATACATACATGCAACCCACAAGCACGAAATGCAGTTTTGCATACTGACCTTGTGATAACTTCATGTGCCTTAGCATCCCACTGAAGGACACAATATCCATGCCGCTCAGTTGTGATGAAGAGAAGATCTTGTGTGTCACCCTGCCAAGATAACCAGGAAATATGATAAACTCATATGTGGCTAAAAGAAACCTTTTTGTGTCCAATACATTTAGCAAAATAATAATGTGCTACTCAATCAAAGGTTGTCAACTCACGTTAGGACGGAAAAGCTCAAGTGTGGCAATTCTCCCATATATAGGCACATCCAACATAATCTGCAGATAAATACACAAAAATGAACTCGTACTTTGAATATTCCAGAGCCAAAACACTCATCACTTTTATAGACAAAGATCATATTAATAAGTGAATATTAAGAGTCACTAGTTCTTATATTCAAAACAAAACAGAAAAGAAATATCAACTAGTAAACAAAAAGATGGATGAAAATAAGAGAGCGTGAAAGAAGGAAAGGGAAGAAAAAAAACCTTATGATGGATTGATTATGAACATATGTGAGATCTCTAATATAGAACATTAGACAATCCGCGAGGTGTTGGGGTTCTCGAGGGGTAACATTGGTTATCATCGAGGGGATTAGTGGTTGAACGAAGAGGTCCAAGGGAAAGTGAAAGCCAAAAAGGTCGCTTACACGAAGTTAATGGAGAGCAAAGACCGGAAGGATAAGCGGACGCATAGGGAGAGGTATAAGGCAGCGAGGAAAGAGGTGAAGTTAGCCGTCACGGCAACAAAAACGACAGCATTTGAATGCTTATAGGGGAACTTGGGGACAAAGGCGAAGATAAGAAGCTTTGCAAGCTAGCCAAGGCCAGAGAGAGAAGGGCTCGATATTTAGATCAAGTGAAGTGCATTAAAAGCGAGGATGGTAAAGTATCGGTGGAAGAGGCAGACATTAGACATAGATGGCAAACACATTTCCATAGACTCTTGAATGAGGAAAGAGACACGAACATTATGTTGAGCAATTTGGAGCACTCCGAGAGCTCACAACAATGGGTATTGTAGGCGTCTGAAGGTTGCAAAGGCTGAGGGGGCTATGCGTAGGATAAATAGGTCGAGCGACGGGGCCAGACAAAATCCATGTGGAATTTTGGAAGAGCACAAGAAAGGCAAGTTTGGAGTGACTTATTGTGTTATTTAATATCATTCTCAGGACGGCAGAAATGCCCAAGGAATGGGGGTGGAGTACAATGATTCAATTATACAAGAACAAGGATGATATCCAAAATTGCAACTATATAGGATATCAAGCTATTAAGCTAGACTACGAAAGTCTAGGAGAGGGTGGTAGAGATGAGGGTGAGGATGGGTGTAGTTATTTCTTAGAACCAATTTGGATTCATGCCAGGGCGGGCGATCAACTACAGAAGCCATTCATCTTGCTAGGAAATTGGTGAAGCGGTATAGGGGAAGGAAGAGGGGCTTATATATGGTATTCATCGATTTACAAGAGACTTACGACAAAGTCCCAAAGGAGGTTCGGTGGAGATGTTTGGAGGCTAGAGGTATACCTATAACATATACTAAGGCGATTAAGGATATGTATATGAAGCTAAGACTCGGGTAAGGACAATAGGAGAAGACTCCGATTACTTCCCAATCATGATGGGGTTGCACCAAGGATCAAGCCTCAACCTGTTCTTATTTTCCTTGGTGATGGATGAGCTGACACGACACATTCAAGGGGATGTACCTTGGTGCATGTTATTTGCAGATGACATAGCTTTGATTGACAAGAAGTGAGGCGATGTTAACACTAAGCTAGAAGTTTGGAGGCAGACTTTGTCTAAAGGTTTTAGGTTGAGCAGGACTAAGACGGAATGCATGAAGTGCAAGTTCAGTGACGTGGCTCCGGAGGCTGACATAGAAGTGAAGGCCGGATACACAAGTCATCCCTAAAAAAGAAGTTTCATGTATCTTGGGTCTATAATCCAAAGTAATGAGGAGATTGATGATGATATCACACATCCCAATGGAGCGGGCGGATGAAATGAAGGCTTGCATCCGGCATCTTGTGTGATAAGAAAGTACCACTGAAACTTAAAAGCAAGTTCTACGGAGTAGTTGTTAGTCCGACTATGTTATATGGGGCAAAATGTTGGTCAGTTAAGACCTCTCATGTGCAAAAAATGAATGTAGCGAGAATGAAGATATTCATTTAGATGTGTGGACATTCTAAGAAAGATATGATTAGGAATGAAGATATTCGGGACAAGGTGGGAATGGCCCCTATTGTGGACAAGATGCGGGAAGCGAAGCTGAAATTGTTCGGGCACGTGAATAGGAGATGCACAATTGCCCCGATGAAGAGGTGTGAGAGGTGGCTATGGCAGAGGCCAAGTAGGGGTGTCAATGGTTTGGGTCGTACGGTTATTTTATAAAAGTTAAACCATACCAATTTTTAGGTTACTCTATTTTATATAACCAAAATTAAACTTTTTGAAGTCGTACCAATTATCTCGGTTTCTTTTTGGTATCAGTATGGTTCAGCTAATCTTTGGTAATTTTCTTAAAATGTCATTTAAGAATCGCTAATAGAAGTTAGAACGTGATAAAATACTTACATACTTAGGACTCTGATAAATCTCTATAGACATTTTTATAGTTTAAAAGACGATGAATCAAGGGATTATGAAAGATAGCCAAAATAGAGATTCATCTCATTATTCTACTACAGCACATGAGAAGTCAAGCAAAGACAAAAGAAATATAGATCACACGAGTTGGAATATTTTAATCAAGATTGGACTCAAGGATAGAGTCTATTAGAAGATTAAGTATCCAATAAGAAAAATCTAAATCATACGAGGAAAGATATTCAATTCTTATAGTTTGCCACTCAAGATGGCAGGAATACTTGTGGCATGCTACTCAAAATGCTAGCTAGAACTAATTTAGTTTCGAGGATCTATAGTGTTTCCACACTTTCCCTCCACGGTGACTCGAACCCGGGACCTAACGGCCGTGGGTGGAGGTGCTTTTACCAACTGAGCAAACCTCACTTGTCAGCCAAAGTTTACTTATATCCTTATTGAGGGATACTTTTTCTCGCCTTGCAATTGTTGATTCTCTAGAACTACTGCTATCATTTTCTTTTATGAGGAATTATTCATATAATCTTTTTCTTTTTCCAAACCAAGAAAGAGCACTATTAACTTCAATTACAAGTCTGCTAAGTCAAGATTGGATAAAGTACAGTCAAATACACCTTCAAAAACTTAGAAAGATGCCATGCAGGAAAAAAAAAAAAAAGAGAAGGAAATACTAAGAAATGAAATCATTATATTTGAAAAATACAAAGTTACTGCTCCTTCGGTAACACTGCAGTTAGGATTAATCTATCTATATAGAATAGGAGAAGCAAAAGCACTACATTAAAACAAGTGTCATAACCACAAAAAGCCAAGTGGTATTGTTAAGACAAACTAAACTACTTTTCTAACTATTGTTTTTTTTTAAATTTTAAATTTTGAATTAATTAGTTACACTACTTAAATTAATAAATATAGATATCTTATAATCTATCTATATAGAATAGGAGAAGCAAAACCACTACATTAAGACAAGTGTCTTAACCACAAAAAACCAAGTGGCATTGTTAAGACAAAATAAACTACTTTTCTAAATAACTTTTTATTGAATTTTAAATTTTGAATTAATTGGTTACACTACTTGAATTAATAAATATAGATATTATAATTATCAATAAAAAATAAAAATACAAAAAAATATTCTACTCATTCAAATAGGAGTTTTAAAATTATTTTACAATAAAAAATAAAAATAACAAAAAATAAATAATAGGAATTTCAGAAAAACACATTGTACAGATAAGGATGTCTAACTGAAATCATAATAGATATTGAATAAAAATAACATTAATGTAAATTTATATGTAGATAATATCAATAGTTAAAGCTAAAATTTAATATATCATATTGAAAACAAAATAAAAGTAGTTTATAATTATTATTTGAATTATAGGTAAAACACTAAATAAAATATTAATTAAAAATATTATAGTAAAAAAATGCATAACAGAGGATGATAGAGATTGTTTGAGTGTATTTATGATTTTGATTAATTTGTAAAATAAATATAGTAAATAATTAAATAATGCTAAAAATTATGGTTAACAAATTTAGACAATGAACTAAGCATTTATATTGGTTTGTCTTTCAAAAGTACTATATTAATTATTATAACATATAAATTATTTTATAACAAGCAAAATCTTAAAATTGACCGCGCATCGCGCGGGTGCCTACACTAGTTTCCAATAATGATCACCTAGTCAAGCAGACTCTCATGTCTTGGAATATGTATTCCTCTTTCTACTCCGCAAGCTAAGTTTAGTCCCTCCGGTTCACAATAAGTGTCCAATTTACTTTTTCATTTTGGTTCAAAATAAGTGTCCAGTTATGTAATCAAGAAAGAATTCAATTTGTTTTTACAAAATAACCCTTATGTACATATCCCTAAAAAGTTTTCTTCTCACATTAAATGTTTAATTAGGGGTAGTTTAGTCATAGTGGGTATTTTTGTATAGAATTTAGTATCTTTTTTAATGGGCGTGCTACAAGCAAATTGGACACTTATTGTGAACCAGAGGGAATAGCATATATGGTTTTTTCTTTTTTTTTTTATTGTTGTGATAGATACGTAAATCATGTTATACCACAAAAGGGAAATGCAATACTTATTGAAAGTGAAGAGGTGAAACCCCACACCAAGCATAAGGACCTAGACTTTTATGTGGTGGTTTGTGTGAGAAATAATAAAATATACATGGCATTTTATTAACCGCATGTATTCTTAGTTAGGTTCGGACATAAATTTGGTCGAAAATGGAAAAAAAATGAGTTTTTGAAGATGAGATGAAAAATAACTTTTGAAAGTTAAAATTGTGTTTGGACATGCATTATACTTGAAAAGAATTTGAAGTTTTATGAGTAGAAAACGTCAAATACTACTCTAAAACTCTTTTGGGGGATTTGAAGATTTTGTTTTTAGGAATTAGAATCTACCAAAAAATAGTTAAAATCTATAAAATAAAATAAAATAAAAAAACAGATATTTGAAAACAAATTTTTTTTAAAAAAAAACTCCCACATTTTATGGTCGAACGGGAGCTTAACAAATTGACTTTTTGCTCGTCCGAAGAAAATTTATGGCTTCTCAAGCCACCAAGGCGGCTAAATTTATTAAATATACAAAATAATTAAATAGTATAATTTACGACTAATATTGAGTTCATAATCTACCCACGGTTTGCGATACAAAAAAAAAATTAAAAAAAATAAAGAGATTAAAGCACAAAATGTTGCATGGACAGAAAAGCTAGAACTATGTGAAACAAAACAAATAGTGTAACAGAAACTCATGTTACTGGGGATGTGGCCCTATCATCAACAAAAGGATAAAAGCTGGACATACTCAAGTGATATTGCTCGACAAAATAGGGGGATTTGTATCTATACTCGTTTTTTGGGTCACATTTTAATTTGTGCCCATTTGGTAAAAAAAATTGTAAGCGTATTCACTTTTTCGCGTAACTTTAGCATACGGGGCTAAAGTAGTAAAGACAATCACGCAAAACTTCAGCATTCTAGTAGACGGGCCTGAAGTAGCAAGTGTGTTGAACCAAGTGTGTTGAAATTTTTGTTTGTAATTGCTGAACTTAAGCATAGTAGCTTAAGTTTTGTTCTCTATTTGCTGAAGTTTTTGTTTGTAATTGCTGAACTTAAGCGTAGTAGCTGAAGTTTTATTCTCTATTTGCTGAAGTTTTTGTTTGTAATTGCACTAAATAAGCTGAAGATTTTTTTTTATCCTGGATTCATTAGTTTTGTCATTAAGCTTTCAAAAACATCAGTAGAGGATGCTGAAGTTATTTAAGTTCATTTATAAAAGCTTCAGCACTAAATAAGCTGAAGTTTTTTTATCCTGGATAAGATTTTTGAAAAACTTCAGCAGAAGATGCTGAAGTTATTTAGTTCATTTGAAAAACTTCAGCACTAAAAGCTGAAGTTTTTTTGACCTTGGATTAATTAGTTTTGTCATAAAGCTTTTCAAAAACTTCAGCAGAAGATGCTGAAGTTATTAGNAATATTCTACTCATTCAAATAGGAGTTTTAAAATTATTTTACAATAAAAAACAAAAATAACAAAAAATAAATAATAGGAATTTCAGAAAAACACATTATACAGATAAGGATGTCTAACTTAAATCATAATAGATATTGAATAAAAATAACATTAATGTAAATTTATATGTAGATAATATCAATAGTTAAAGCTAAAATTTAATATATCATATTGAAAACAAAATAAAAGTCGTTCAAAATTATCATTTGAATTATAGGTAAAACACTAAATAAAATATTANNTATTAATGTTAAAAAAAAATGACATAACAGAGGATGATTAGAGATTAGTTTGAGTATATTTATGATTTTGATTAATTTGTAAAATAAATATAGTAAATAATTAAATAATGCTTAAAATTATGGTTAACAAATTTAGACAATGAACTAAGCATTTATATTGGTTTGTCTTTTAAAAGTACTATATCAATTATTATAACATATAAATTATTTTATAACAAGCAAAATCTTAAAATTGACCGCGCATCGCGCGGGTACCTACACTAGTTCACTAGAACACAAGCAACTAATAAAGCAAATAGGGGGAAAAGGGAGGAAACAATTCAAATGCAAATAAAAGTTAGGGCATACGCAATGATAAGAATGAGATGTGAAGGAGATGTGAAATTGCCAACACAGGAATGTGTAACGTTCGTTGGCTTGTTAGCGGTAACCACATAGTTCCATTCCCTCATTATTGTACCTAATCCCTCTAACCACAAAACCGTAAGATCTGGTGCTCTAACCACAAAACCCTAAAACCTGCCCTAACCACAAAACCCTACGACTTTTTCTCTCTCATATTATAAAAATAATATTGTATATAATATATGTAGTATGTGTATGGGAAAACCCTAGTCTCTCGTTCGCACGTGTAAACGAGAGACTATTTTGTAAACCCAGGTGTTCAGTAAAAGGTATTTCAAAACTTTAGCATATTTTGTTCTCTCTTTATTATTATTAGGCCCTTAAAGTTGTCACATTTTTTCATTTAAACACTCCAACTAAAGGTATTTCCTGTTAGACACTTAAAGTGTGTCCAAACTGTTCCAATTGAACCCATTTACTAATAGCCAATCCACAAAAATAAGTGTGTGTCTGATGATGTGTCAAAGTAACAAATTAACGGAAGACATGTGTCCTTTGGCCGCAAATAATTATTACAAAAAGGAGTTTTGAGCCAAAAATCCCCCCCCCCCCCACCACCTACCCTCTCGCCGGATTCCGTCGTTCCACCCTCTCTAACATCTATTCCTGTTCCACCCTCTCTTCGCCAACAAATTCTCCCCTTCGTCTCTTTCAGAAAGCCCAAACAAAATATATCCACTCCATTCACAAAATCCTTTAGTCAACTCCATTTTACAGTACTTTTTAATCACCAATAGCAAACTTCACGCTATAGCACCATTAATACCGTACCACTTCCATTTCCTGGCTACCCAAAATTGCTATTTGTCTTGCATTGTAGGTTATTCACCCTATCCATGATCAAACATTTTACTTGACTGGGGATCATAAAAGGAAGCTTAAGGAAAAATATGGTGAGTATTTCAAGTATGAATTTCATAGCTGCGATGCCTATTTCCATGTGAAACTCTTTCTTTTATTTTTCTAATATTTTTACTATAATTTTCTATTCCACAGGAAGGAACCATGGACCTTTTTTCAAAAACTAGGGGACGCAGTTTTCATACCTGCAGGCTGCCCTTATCAAGTTAGAAATCTGAAGGTGTGTGAAGACATCAGTAAATAATTAAAGTGTCATCTCTCTAGTTGTTTAATCTGTTAGACAGATGAAATATAATTTATCCAAATTTCAAAAGATCGTGCTTAATTTTCTACACTTGTCTACCTTAGATCGTGATTCATGTCAACTTGGAAAACATACTTGCATCACTTTTCGTTGTTGTCCTAATAGTTGAGCAGGATACCCTTCCGGGTCCTAGTTGAGTCAGTTTAGCTTTCAGTTTTCCTTATTTTCTGTGCTCCATTGATAATCATCCAAGATGTACTTGGAGCTTCTTAATGAAACTATTTTCTCAATTATAAAAGTTTTCAAGCTTAAGAGGTAATTTATCGAACATCTTGTCCTCCTACTACTCAACAAAATAGGAGAGTTCAGAAAAAATATGCATCTCATTACAAGGATATGCCTAAATGATCAGACAAGATTACAAATGATTACGTTTGACAGATGTAGCAACATGTAAAATAAAAGAAGACCATCAACCATCTTATTGAATGTATTTAGTTGGCTCAATCAGGCCCCTGTATCTAGCTGTGAAATATTTTTGGATTGTCTGCTCCAAAGCTATAGATTAGTTTTTGTATAAGGGCAGACACCATCAAGCAGTATTGCTACATTTGTAACTTTTGTTCTGCATCTTCTTGATGCCTTTTAATGATGATTCCCTTACTTCATCAGGGAAAAAAAAGACCATAGGAGATGGTTTGGCCATGTTCTACCAAAAACTCCAAATATCGGTCCTTAACGTGATATTACAATGAGTGAAGTTGTTAAAATGGGACATGGTAGAACAAAATTCACGTTAGAAGAAGTCGTCTCTGAAGTCCTACAGTCTCTGCCATTTGAGTTGTACGATTTATGGAGCTCCTGATTCATGCGGGCTTAGGGAAAAAGTTTGCACAATCCAAAAAGTTGATACTAACTAGTTGGGATTAAAGCTTAGTCATATGATACTTTGCGTTAAGTTTTAATCTGTTTAGAGATTTGTATGTTAGTAGAAAATTAGAGGACTGCTAGTGTGGAGAAACCCATTTTATTGTGTATTTGAATGGACATTGATGAATCATATAGTTGGCTCCAACTAGTTTATGATTGAGGTATAATTGGATCAAAAAGGGAATGAGGTATAGTTGTCATTATTGTTGATTTGACTGCCTGTACCCTGCAATATATTTCATGTTCTTGCGTTTTTAAGGAGGTTTGATTTTCACATCCTGTTATTTGGTCGAGTCATGCATTCCTCTATTATCCATAATCAGGTTTTACACTACTTTATGTCCACTCATCTTTATGTTCCTTGGTCCTTGTTTCTTTAGGAGCACATGTTTGTTCATAACTTGATCATTGAAAGAGATGAATTAACTTCTCATGCTCTTAAGTGTGTGGCTTTTGGTTATTTTTGCGTTTGAAAGGGATATCATTGCACTTAAATTCTAGATTGCCTCTTCAGCAGCTTGGTTAATTTTTGGTTTCTTTTTATCCAGGTCTTCTCGATTCTTGTGCACTGTGAAGCATGTTAACGTAATCTCATTTGACTTATAATCTTGCCTTCTCTGGACATAATTCTTGAGAAATGGAAAGTGTCTAAATGCTCTGCAATTTGCTTAGACTTTGCACAAAGTTCTTCGGATATATCCTCTTCGTTTTTAAAATAAGGCAGTTCTTCAGATATATCTCATAGTGTGGGAAATCTAAGATAACCATATTTGACGAAATTTTAGCTATAAATTAATTGTTCTATCCTGTCAGCTGGTGTCTCTTGAAAACTGATTGTAAGATGGCTTTTCATTCGTACTAAAAGGTTCCAGAATATTGAAAAGTAATCTGTTTGCGTATAGAACAGAGCCTGTTTCTTTTGGACTATATTTTCATCTTCAATGCTAGCAAAGTCAGATAGTAATTCGGGTGGACAAATAACAGAAGATTGTGGCGTGGTTTTTAGAACGAGGCCGTCAGATATATTTTAAACTCATAGTTCAACAAGCTTGAGACTAATCATGTTGGTTTTTATCAGAAAAGTAATATTATTGGTCTTGTTAGTTTAGTTATTCTAAATTGTTTCTTGCTCCCACAGTCATGCATAAATGTTGCTCTTGGCTTCGTTTCACCTGAAAATGTTGGTGAATGCATTCGTTTGACTCAGGAAGTCCGCAAGCTTCCCCAAGATCATGTTGCTGCAGAAGATAAATTAGAGATACTTCTCTTGTTTCACGTTTCTCAGAGCTTTTTGCATGCTTCTGTTTGTTATGACCATGTTTCTTCTCACAATTTCACTTTACTGCTCTTGGACTCTACGACATCTCATTCCTTATTAAGTTTATAGATTACTTCCTGTATCTCATATGACACCATTATTATTTTGGGCAGTCAAACAGTTTATGAAACTCTTCTAAAATAAGGTTTTGAATTATACTACTTTTTATATGGTTTTTAAATATGTAAATTTTATGCTGAAAATTTTGAGGAAACAATGTCCAAGTTCGCACCGAGAATTAAAAGGTTTGGCTCTATTGCTCAGGACCTCACCATTGTTTTCAGGATGGAATATTAGTTATAGGTTCATTCAATTGTTCGAGAGATATGTAGCTAAGTATGGATGCATCCAACTATGTCTAAGGCTCTATTTGAAACTCAAAGGGAAGTTTAATTATTTAATGTTGAGGAACATCTTTCTACTAATAAATTTGAACTGTTTGGGGAAATCTTCGAATCTCATAACTGGAATGAGTGTACCGCAAGATCAGACAAGTTCCTCCCTTGCCTGGCAGTGGCAGCATCTGTCTTTTAAGTCTACTAAATGAGCTTTCACTGCCCGCCCGACCTCTATCCTTAATTAAGAACTTTAAGGTTAGGTATAGTTAAAGTTCTTCCAGAGTCCGAGACGCTGGCTGCTTTTCCTTCAATTAAGGTATTAGTGTTTGTTCTATTACACCACAAAAAGGCGCATTTATCCACTTCGTTCAAATAAGAGTCATAGTCGTTTTCCTTATCTTAAGACAATCCCTTGCTTGAAACTAAAAGAAATGAAGAGGTTTTTAATGGTCAAGTAATGTTGACTGCTCTGCCGTATGGGTATGAGCGCTAAATGAGTTGTCTTCGACTCTTCATCACAATTAATTAATTCTTGGATTTCTTCATCTTGGCAGACTGGTATTATTCTATGCTCCTCAAAATTGCTTGTGAATATCATACATCTTTCCATAAGATAATACTCTATGATCACATCAGTGCAGCTTATTTTCCCAACTTATTCATATTAAGTGTTTGTACAAATAGTTGACATAGTGTCATCACTGGAAGCCCTTCTATTGGATGTTGTCTTATTATTCTACAGTTGCCATTTTTTTGGTGGAAATTGCTTCAATGATGCCTTCTAAATCATTCAAATACATTATTTAGGAGTGTGGAACCTTTTGCAGAAATCTTCTATTTAAATTACTTGATTGTAATTTTGGTAAATCTGCTCCCCCTGATTTAAATTTTGGTAAATCTGCTCCCCCTGATTTAAATTTTGGTAAATCTGCTCCCATGTAACTCATTCCGAATCAGTTTATCAACACACTCATACGAGCGTTCAAGCAAGACAAGATGTGCAAAATTAAGGCATCAAAGTATGAGTCTACAAACGAGCCTATACGTCGCACCCTCAGTTCGTTTTGTTATTCTCAGGTGTGTACATCTAGGGTTGCATTCTAGCCTTCACCCATCTTGGTCCTAAAACTACAAAAGAAAAATCTACCTAACCCGGTTCAAGAAGAGCCCTTGGAAAAGAACCGTGGTCAAAAGAAAAACCAAGGGAGAATTACTACACTACCTAAAAAAAAATAAAATAAAGAAACTACATGGACTACTTCCCTCAAGAGTACTGTCCAAGTGGTCCGTCCTCAGGAAGAGTCCTCTACTTTTTCTTTTTTTTTTTTTAGATTCGACTATGACCCTCAAGAGACCTGTCGACAAGTGTCCGTCATTGGGCTCAGTCAGTTACTTCTAATGTGAGTTAATTATACACCACAACATCACTCTAATACTACAACATACTCAATGTCTATATACACTACAATACACTACCAAAGCAAGTCTCCCACCCCACACTTAAAATTATGGCATGTCCCCATGCCATATCAAAAATAAAGAGCAGAAGGGTAAGAAGACTTCCCTGGGCCTCAATCAGAGTCGGAGATGGTGCTGGGGTCCACATTGCAAGCTCTCCCCAAAGCGCGGAACCAGGCCATAAACCGGCTCTCAGATCTGGACTGCCGCTGCGACATGGCATCCATACGTGTGTGTAAGCCCTCCACCGAGGTGCGAAGATCCGCGACCTCTTCCTCCATAGTACGCAGCATAGGGCGGGTGGACTGTGATATGGATAAGCCTGCTCCAGCATGGGGCTGCCGAGAGGGTCCGACACTGTCATAGGATCTCTTTGATGGTGCTATGGGAACTGGGTCATCATCCTCATCATCGATCTGAATGGTGGTGCGTGCACCCCTGCCCACTCTGATGCTCGAAGCTTTAAAAGCTGCTTTCTGTGGCAACTCTCCATCAGTAATATTAGTGGGGACATTCCTCAGTAGGCACAATGTAGTCACCAAGGAGGGGAAGTAGAATCCCTTTGACCGCAGCGGGGACCGTATGATCATTTCATCACCAATTAGTTTTGCCGCATCAAAATCTTTCTTTGTGATGAAGCACCATGTCAAGAGGGCTCTTTAGAAGTTCACGTCAGTCGTATTACCTGAGGGCAAGAACCTGCTGTAGATAACAGTGAGCCAACACTTAGCCAAATAGGTGAAAGAATTGGAGTTCAGGGTGATATAGTCACGTATCCAGGTGGGTTGCCCCCTGTGCAGAGTGCATCAGTCATAGTCTCCCAAGTGACTCCTAGTGCGGCCTGGTAATAGTCCGTGTCACCAGTAAATTCAGGCAGCCGCAACACCTGGCGAATATTTGCAACTGAGGCATCAACCACCGTGCCCCTCACAATCACCCTCCGCACCATGTGTGTTGGGCAGTTGGCGTAGAACTCTCTTACAATCATCCTGTTCACCGGTGTAGGTTCATCAAATAAGAACTCCATTTCCCTCCTCCGGATCTTTTCATACATCTCTTTTTTCTCCGCCCGGAGGGCTGCCCTGTCAATCTGAATCTCAGGGATGAAGCTCTTTGAGGCCTTGGCATGAAAGTCGTCCTCTGCCAATTCTGATTCGAACCTGGAGTCATCATATGTGGGCTGTTGGGATGTGCCCGCCGATCTCTTTTGCTTCTTACAAGCCATATTACCTGCAAAGAATTCAGAAAAACATCAAATGCATCCTAATTAGTGCCAGTCGGATGGGTACTCAGACTTCTCCACCTGATGGCATCAACCTTATCCTCCCATTTATTTCTGCCTTTCAAACTATCACAACTAGCAGGGTGTTGAAAGTTACAACCCCTACAATGGCTCTCACAACAGTACTAACTCACAATATTCGGCATACAACACCCCACACTGACCCCCTCAAGTGGTTTACGTCAATTACAGCACCATCATTCACCCAATACAACACCATCATTCACCCAATACAACACCATCACAACCTAGGTTAGGCACAAAACGCCTCAAAATAGTACAACAAGCCCCAAATTTTCGGCCAAGAGGGCCTTCCACCAAACTACATCACAAAAAATTATTTCTAGGCTTCCAAATCATCTAAACAACCCCCACAATTGAAGCACAATGAAGACCGACCCATTTAAGCATCACACAAGTCCACAAGAAGCAATTACAAAGAAAGAAAACATAAAAGAAAGCAAAAATTTAAAAAAAAAGTTAACACTATTCCTAACTAGGGTTTACTTAATCTACAACAAAACTAAATTACACTAATTGAGACAAAGAAATAGAAAAGGGAGAAGAGAAACTTACTTGATGGAAGAAGGGAAGGGGTGGGTAGTGTTGGGATGGAGATTTGGAGAAGGTGATAATGGAGGTTTTGAGTGGGGACAGCCCACATATGATGACTCCAGGTTCGAATCAGAATTGGCAGAGGACGACTTTCATGCCAAGGCCTCAAAGAGCTTCATCCCTGAGATTCAGATTGACAGGGCAGCCCTCCGGGCGGAGAAGGAAGAGATGTATGAAGAGATCCGGAGGAGGGAAATGGAGTTCTTATTTGATGAACCTACACCGGTGAACAAGATGATTGTAAGAGAGTTCTACGCCAACTGCCCAGCACACATGGCGCGGAGGTTGATTGTGAGGGGCACGGTGGTTGATGCCTCAGTTGCAAATATTCGCCTGGTGTTGCGGCTGCCTGAATTTACTGGTGACACCGACTATTACCAGGCCGCACCAGGAGTCACTTGGGAGACTATGACTGATGCACTCTGCACAGGGGGGCAACCCACCTGGATACGTGACCATATCACCCTGAACTCCAATTCTTTCACCCATTTGGCTAAGTATTGGCTCACTGTTATCTGCAGCAGGTTC